GCAATATAATTAATATAAATAAAAAAAATAGTTTCTATTTCATTTTGTATATTTTTAAACATTTAATAGTAAAAATATATTTTAAATTCTAAATTGAAAAACTAAACTTACCTGATTATAATTATAATATGTATTTTTTTTAATGGGTAAAAATGGCATGATAACGCCGCCTATTCTATCGGTATATACTGGCGTGGTACCAGTGAGAGGTGATAGGTCAGATAGCCCATTGTGTCGAATTCAACGATAAATTTGTCATGTAAATTTCCAGGGGGAACTACGTGGAGATCGACCTGATAGGGTATATTGATAGCAATGGGGAGGTTAGTCCCCATTGCTATCAAAGGTTTTTTGTATTTATTTTATTATTGTTTTTTTAATAAATTTATTGTAAATATTTACATATGGGAGCAATATACCCTCCCCCAACATAACAACCCCTTCTCCCGGTAATATGTATTAGGTGCTCCGATTAATGTTCGTACCGTAACTATGTTAAACTAATTATGTACACAAACAAGTGAAACTGTATGAGTATTTGTACGTTGCAATGAACACGAGACATACTTCTCTTGACAGCGAGTGTGAGAGATAAAGTTTCAGATGTGATGTTAAAAATATTTAGAATAGACATTTATTTAAAAGCCTTAATAGGACAAGCAAGAGAATTAAAGTTGCTAAATGCCTCTATCTTATGTATTGGTATCTATATAATAATTTAGTTTTTTAAATGATTTAGAGTATGAATGACAGATAATCTATAACCATTAATTTAAGTAAAAATACTGAAATTTTAACCTGTTTTTATACGTCTTGGCAAGTATTAGGATAGACTTGATAATATTTAATAAGAAGACAAATAAATTAACTCCAGTTTAAAAAAATATAACTATTATCCTAATTCAATATATAATAACAAAAAAATAAACTTAGTTTAACTTCCATTTTTTAACTTAAAAGTATTATATAATACTGTACGATTAACTATAAGTTAACAAATAATAGAAATTGGGCTCGCCGTCGGTGTCGAGTTCTTTTTTCAACCGACTTCAAAAAAGGAGGTTCTGAATTCGGATATATTTTTTTATGTTTGTTATTTCATAACTCCGTCAGTTATAGGCCGATTTGGAAAATTTTTTTTATCTGAAAATTTTATCAAAATCAGTTCAGTGATTTACTTTTTAAATCAATATAACTTATTTTACCATCATTGAAGTCAGTTTTTTTGTGGAACACAATCTTAATTATTACAAATTTGGGTGACTGTTTTACCTCACAAATTATCCATTCAATAAAAGATCTTAAAATCAAGAAATGAAAACATTTCCTAAATCATATTAATCTATACTTATAATAAATCTGTAGAGAGGTCAATTCTGTACATGAAATATATTTCCAAAATAACTATCAGGGGGTGATTAGTGATCAATACTGATGCCAAAAATGCAATCAGTAAAATTCTGTCTGTCTGTCTGTATGTTCGTTATAAAAACAAAAACTACTCGATGGATTTTAACGAAACTTAATACAATTATTCTTCATACTGCTGGGCAGGTTATAGTATACTTTTCATCGGGCTACGATCAATAGGTGCAGAGCAGTGAAGGGAAACGAAAGAAGTTACTCCATTTTTAAGCTTCCGTCGCGTGTGCAGCTTTAATGGCCACTTTTTAAATGTAAAAATGTCCACCTGTGCGACGCCAGGACCGGCTGCTAGTTATAGAAATAATATCTATTCTATTATCGATGAGAACCATGATGCCCCACGCTGAGCAAAGGTCTTCTCCTTACAAAACTTCCTGTTCAGCGCCGCCTTAATCCAGTCCCTATTAAATGCATTTAGATCGTTACGCCATGTTCTTCACCATAGTGAAGATCTTTGGCTATCTACCGTGACTATTATGTGATCCATCGGGGGGAAAGGGATAGTTAGTAATGGGATCTAATTGACCCATTGCTAGCAAGCTGTCAGGTCGATCTCCACGCGGTTCCCCCTGGAAACCATCGCAGTAAATAGTCATGATGAGCTATTTGACCTACTTTCATCGTCACCTATCATCTGTCACTGGTGCCCCTCCAGCGTATACATATGCGGGGTATCATTCCATTCGACCCACTAAAAAAAAATGTAATCCATCCGATCCCACAAATAATACCATTTATCAGAAATATTTAATTATATCATTCAATAAATTCTCATTTGCAATTGATAAATAAAACATTTCCTTACTTATATTTTATTAGTACATTCGTTAATCGAGGACTAAAGAACATTTATTAATTTATTGGTTATAAATATTGAGTGAAAGTTACAAATAAATCAATAGCATTATTGACGGAGCAAGCGAAAAAGGATTTAATGCAATTACAAATAAGATTGAATGTCGCAAATTACAGTCAATTTCTTTGCACATTATCAATTTAATGTTATTAGCGATACGCTTGATAAATGCATAATTAAATCGATATTTATGAGGATGATTTGATTTTAATCGTGGGAGTGTTGTCAAGTTTGTCCATCTGTCAGTTTTAAGATTGGAAATTGTGGTAGGTACGTGTTTATTAACGATTATTAGTAGGTACCTATATAAGATAGTTTAGATATCTAAAATAAAATCAAAAATATGATTATATTTGGAACATTAATTTTATGAAATGTATTGCAACGAGTAATTTTTATTTATTGTACTAATTAATTAATTAATTAATGATGGAATTGGTGGATCTTTGATGGAATCATTGTGAATTGAATATTATATAGGAGTAGGTAACTACCTAATTATATAATATAATATTGATACATTGTAGTATTTTTTTAAATAGGACTTTTTCACTCTCAATTAATACATTTAAAGACGTATAACAATTATTTTAATTTTTAGTAAAACTTTTTATATATAAAAATCAATCTATATAAAAACTTTTAAAATACAATGTAAATTATTCGTATGATTTTTATGCAAAAGAATAAATTTAGAAAGTTAGGTAAAATCAAAAACATAACCTCTTATTTTACAAATTGGGAGAATCTTGAAAACCTCTAACACTAGAACGACAAGGACTTCATTAGGACGTGACATATAACATGTCAAGTGTAAACAAATGATTTCACATTCTAAATTCAAATATTTTCAATCTGTTATATCCACAATGATGCTGTTTTTTTTTTGCAGAACAATGTACTTGTTTATTCCACTAATTGTTACATTATTACAATAATTGTAGTAACTCTAATAGATACATTGGTCTACACGAGAGGATTAGAAGTCGCATACCAGGAGCACGATAGTGTCGACAAATACAGAGACGTCAGTCATAGCGAGACGCGACGGGTGACACGCGTAGTTTATTTTAGGATAATGGCACTGAGGATAATTAATAAATGTAACTTAAATAGCGAATTTTAATTATTCAGTTATATGCAATTTTGTATCTATTATTATTTTTATTTTAGATATTTAATGTGTTTTTTTTTATTATTTCAAAATATTTTTAAGCAGTCATAAGTTTTTATTGTGGTAAACATAAATTTATTCACATGTGTATATTATAAAATGGAGACTTCAGTACAGATATCTGATTATTCTATATTATGTCTATTCTATAAAATCCTGTCATTAGAAACAGCTGTTTGACTTGGAGAGAATGCTATATAATATTAAGTCCGCCTTTGGTACTAAAAAAATTTTTTTTTAAATGGTCAATAAAGAATAAACAAATAAATGAAAATTAATTAATTGTGTTGGTTCTATTTTGTATTACTATCTGTATTAGTAATAAGAATTATGATGTAAGTAATTCTTATTATAATATATTATAATATGAAAGAAAGTTTGTTTGTCACTTTATAGTACCTTAAAGGCACTATATGACATGGAGAAGGTAATATGCTGCTTTTTATCCCAATCAGTATACATAATATTTCGGTCACGCAGACGAAGTTGCGGATAAAAGCTAGTATATTTGAGTATTTCAATTTATGTTTTCTATTTTAAGTAAATATATAAAAGCACATATTAAACGAGTTAAAATTTCGCTTTGCAAAACAATAGTGACTTTTATCATGAAAAAATGAATATAGGAAAGAGAAAGGAATAAATGTTACTGATAAATTCCAGCAGTTTGTTTCCAAAATCAACTTGGCCATGAAGAGAACCCATAGGGCAATATAACTTACAGCAAACAATAGATAGACAAGGAGAGAGAAGGAAAGAGAGAGAGAGAGATAAACAGGGAATAAAACTTGTAACAAAAAAATGCTAACAAACTATTTTAAGTACCTATTTATGTTCACATATTTAAAATTAACTGTCAAATTCCTACCACGATCGCCTGTTCGTTTAACTGTAAAAACAAGTGCGAATTTCTAAAATGTTCCACCTTCTTGACTTGTATGTAAATACTATACAAAACGTCTAGAACTTATTTTATAACCATAAATTAAACAGCACACTCGCCTTAATTGTCTTTAATCTCACACTTTCCTATTATTGTGTTTGATATGTACGCGTTTAATACACCATTATCGATCTTCCGCAAGTGTGATTACGGCTTCGTTAATGATTCGCTAATTACAACATTTAATGAAGGTACGAACATCTGGCTACATAGTGTAGAACAAGATAAGTACGGAGACACGGAAGTAACGACTTTTTATGGGTAAATATTTAGTTCACTAGGGAATTTACATGTTACTGTCATTGTAAAATAATATGTTCCTTTTGACAATAAATTTCATTTATGTCGGTATATCAATAATCGATTTATTTGACATTGACAAGGACAGCAGACAGTTCAATCAATATGACATCCAATGATTATCACAAATGAGAAATTGTGTTATCACATTTTTTCAGTACATTTTTTTTTTGACAGCGAGGTTTCTTGACTACTTTGAAATTTTTGACAGCGATTCTAGATCGAACGTCACTTCGTTTGTAGACAGCCCTAACTCAAAATTTCAAAGAACTGTGGACGCGCAGACACTTCGGCGTACTCACCACCACATGCTGCCGCGTCCTCTCCGCGGCTTGTTGCCGCCAGCTTCGCACCTCATACACAAAACAGTGAACACAAACAACCACGGACACTTCATTCTGCGATGGGCGGTCCCGCGTACTTTTACATGAGCGCGGTCGGTCGCAGCACGGTTACGTCTGCCAGCGGACCGGCTTTGCTCTCGAGGCGGAGTCGGTTGGTGGGAGGCCATATCTGTCATACCGCCCGATTGGTCTCGCACTTCTGTTTTTTTTTTTTAAGTAATCTCTGTCGTGTTTAGGTCATTAGGTTGGCGTTATGCAATTCGACTATCGTTAAATAATATTATAATAGGCTTATGACGAACTTATTGTTTTGTTATAATCTTTTGTTTTGTTTGATAATAATAGAAAATGTAATGTTAAATTATACAATACATTCATAAAGTTATAATTTAAATAGCTTCTTAATGTTATTTATTACAAAAACATGACCGATAGTGGTCCAGTTTTGTTGCAACATTTAATGCAATTGCATAACTAGATCTGGAAAGATGAGATTTTAATGGAATAGCAGATTAACAACCTAATTAATGTTAAACATTTGTTCTGGTTATAGTTTAAAATCTGATTCGGATGTAACTAAAGATATTTAGACGAAATAGGTATGAAAAAATATAGATATTCTATCTGTACGTTTATATGAATATATTGATAAACAAACATATCACAACAAAATTATTAAGGTCGGTATTCACTGTAAATACTGAATTAATTAATAAATGACTTTCCAACTAAAAATTACATATTCAGTTACCTATTAAAAATATAGCAATTAAATGGCTATCTATCGACTTATAGAGCCATTAATGATTATTTTTCCGTTTATTCTTTGACCACACATAATAACATTCCAAAGTAATTAGATATGATAAAAAATCTCTTCATATTTCTAGTATATTGTGAGAGATTCTTTCATGCAGTATACAAAATTCTTTCATAATTCGATCTCGCTGTCTACTCGCACTATATGATAAAAGACAAGGACGGGACATCAGACCTGGAGTAGTTGAAATTTGATTCCTGGAGCTGTGAGATACAGAGCTATGAGTCAGCAGATCGCGCGAGCGCCGCGGTGGGAGGGGCGGCGGCGTCCAATCACGGCGCGGCGGGCCTGCGCCGGCGCATTGTGCCCAAGAGCACGTGTTCGGACGTCTTCGTCGCAGCGTGCCGGTGACTCTCGCCGATAATTGGTCAATGTTCAATTGTTTTTGAGATCTACTCTCGATTTTAATGTTTTTTTTAAATAGCTTCCATCGAAATTAATGAATTAAAAATTGTTTTATATTTATAGATCTTTTATATTGAATGAATTATTTTAATTACAAGTTTCATGTATGTTAATTAATTTATTTATTTAAAAAAAAATAATACAAAGATATAGTCTGTTTGTTTATCAAATTTGATACAAATCCATTTAGCTTTTTGGATTTAAATTGGGTAGGTACCCATAAAGTATCCAACAAATAACTAAATTCTTTTCAAGTTCACATTCACAAACACATTCGTGACTTCTTTGGCATAAATTTCATTAAGTATGAATTCCAAACTTTATTCTTTATCGTAACTAATTAGTAAAACGTAGTTTTCTAACTTTATCGTCCTCGTGACCAGTTACTGATATTCTTCTCTACACCATATATATGTTAACAAATTTAACGGTGACTGATAAAACCGTTAAAGTACTACAACAACATATAACAAACGAACAAACTCACTTTCACATGAAATTAATAAGGATCAAATTAAAAGCAAGACGAATCTGTTAAGAAAAATAAACAAATTTAGAATATTTTCTAAAATAATAGATATTTATGTATTTATTATTACAGACAGAATCATTAATTTTGTTAGAAATTTCATACACATCCGTTAAGCTAATTATGTCAACATCGCGCGTGTGACACCCCTGGTCATCGCGTCGTACCGCCCGTCTGACGGTCGTTTACCATCAGACAGGCGGTATGCATGTTTAAAAATCATAGTATCTAGTATAAAAAAAACATTTTTGCGGCGCCACTGAAACTGATGTTAAAAGTGATATTTCCCAAGCACTTTTTTATTTTGTTTACAACACTTAATTCTACTAAACAGAATACGTTGCAGAAAAAATAAAGGGACAAAATACAAAAGGTTTTATTACTGACCAATTTCTTTTGGACTACTTTCATTACCAAAAAGAACAACATATACCTATATGTAAAATAGATTATTATTATACCTGAGGGAGAGAATTGTTCAAAATAGGGACTACCAGTCGAATTGCTAGCAATATACCACCCAGCAGTCGACCACCCTGCAGTCCCCGCGGAAACTATTGTATTTACCAGAGGGAGACTTTGTACAAAAGTCGATTGCTTGGGTACCTCTGTCCCATTCGTGTTTCAACCGTGAAGCAATCATGTTTGCATGGCTGTGTTTCGGTTTGAAGGGTGGGATATGGCGTGAATTTACTGGGTACAGAGGAATAACACCTGAATCCTCAGTAATGGCAACGCATGGAGGGTATCATGGGCGAAACAGTATACTCTGTTATGTTCATGGTACTGCTCATATCTATAGGCGACGGTTACCACTTTCCATCAGGTGGGTCGTCAGCTTGTTTGCCATTCTAAATTGTATAAAAAAAAAATTAATTTCAAGTGAGTTTATATCGGTGGGTTAAATGACTTGCTCTTTTATTCTCACCTATTATCCATCAGTGTGATCCTTGTGGTTCCAGCATAGAATGGACCAACCTATCCTTTTCCGTGAGTGTTGTGAAAGGCGACTAAAAGAGGAATGGATATCAGCGCCTTTCTTAAAACATCACTAGATCCTAACTGCGGTTGTCAACCTGCAAAACTTCCCTTATAGGTAAGGCTTATGTTCAGCAGTGGGCATTTGTTTATTTATGTATAAATAAATAAATAATTGTCCACAATAACATATAATAAATAAACAAACTCACTTTCACACCATATTAATAATCACATTAAAAAGCAAGATGCAGTTGTTAAGAAAAAAAAATAAACAATTCAAATGAAATTCAGAATGTTTCCAAAATAATAAATATTTACGTATTTATTATTCCAGAGAGACATTTTTTTTTTGTTAGAAATTTCAAACACATCCGTTCAGTTATTTATGACGAAATGATGTCGGCAACGCGCGCGTGAAACTCCTGGTTTTACGTGCATCTATAGACAACGGTAACTCCTTTTAGCATCAAACAGACCGTCTGCTTGTTTGCCACCATAGTAGGTACTTGTAGTATAAAAACATAAATATTTTTGCGGCGCTACTGAAAGTGATGTTAAGAGTGACATTTACCAAACAATTGTACTGTTTAACTACTATATAGAATTCGGTGCAGAAAACAAAAAGGGGTAAAATACAAAAGGTTTTATTACTGACAAATTTCTCCCGGAGAACTTTCGTTACCCAAAAGAACATTATGCGAGACCTCACCGTATAGATGCAAAAAAGATTATGGACACCATGCAACTGAGATATTCATACCTGAGGGAAAGAATTGTTCATAATGTGGGCTACCAGTCGCATTGCTAGCAATATACCACCCCACGGTCGACCACCCTGCGTTCCCCGCGGAAACTATTGTATTTAATTCCAAGTGAATTTATATCGATGGGCTAACTGACTTGCTCTTTCATTCTTACCTATCATCCATAAGTGTGATCCCTGTAGTCCCAGCATAGAATAGGCTAACCCTTCCTTTCCTGTGGGTGTCATACGAAACGACTAAGGGAACTTAATTGTCGAGGGATGGACAGCAACATTCTTATTAAAACATCACTAAATCCTAACTGCAGTTGTCAAACCGCAAAACTCCCCTTATGAGGATGGCTTATGTTCAGCAATGGACCGTTATCGGCTAAAATGACGATGCATCCACTTAGTGGACAATAATGTTATAAATTACCTATACCTATTTAGATATAATACATTATTTAATAACAATCGTGTACAAAATTTGGCATTGACTTCTGTTTTTACCTTTAATTTAGAATAATAAACAAACTGATGGTTCAGTTGATAGAAAAACATAAACATCGACCATAATTGTACCATAGACATATCATAGATATAAAAGTACTATAGATATCATTTTTATTATTAAAAATTTTGTAAGCGCATATTGTATTTTAATGTAATAAATACCAGTTTAATTTACGTGTAATTTTGTCGAGAAAGCTCGACTAGTTTCGGGACCATTCGGTACTCTTAATCTTGAGCGTTTAAGCTGATTTTATTTTTAATCTTTTTAATCTATCGCTCAAGATTAAGGGTTCTGAATAGTCCTGAAACTAACCAAGATTTTTTGACCAAATTACACATAAATTAAACTGGTAGTTAATACATTAAAATAAACGTCATTGTCTATACTGTGATGCCCATGACACTCCATGCGTTGCCATTCTTGGGGACTAAGATGTTATGCCTCCATACTCTATAATTTCACTATCTTTACCTACCAAACTCAACATGATGTTTCTAGTTCTACAACTGCCCCAAAATTTTTCATAATATATTTATTATTTTCATATTGTATTACTAAAAACTACAGATTTATATTAAACCAACTTTAAAAAGTAGAAGCAATTCGATTGTATTTTTATATTTATTACCTCACATCTTTGTCAGTTATAAATCTATTTCAAATTTTTTTTTATCTGTAAGGTTATACTTATAGATTGATCCCATACGAATTTTATCAATATCGGTTCAATAGTTTAGTTTTTAAATTAAAATAACTAGTTTTATCACAATTGAAATAGTTTTTTTTTTAATTATATGCTTGTTTGCCATTCTAAGTAGCATAAAAAAAAAATTACTTTAATTTGCATACCACATGATACAGATCAATTGCTATTTTAACGTTTAAGTCTTTTTTTTAAGCCTGTTTGGAATTTGAAGAAAATTAAATTTTCGTTTTTAAAATGGTAAGTATAAAACACAAATACCTAACAATATTATACTGTACTAGCTTTTACTCGCAACTTTGGCTGCGTCACCGGGATAAGTACGTTCACTGAATGTAATAAAAGAATTAAATAATATATTTAAAATTTAAGAAAAATCAGTCACAGAAAACAAATTAGTTTGTAAATAACTGCATTAGTAAAAATTGCATT